CGGACACGAAAAAAGACCAAAAAAGGAAAAAAAAAAAAAAAAAAGAACATTTTGCAATGAAAATTCTCATGTGCAACTTTTAATCCTGTCAAATGGATTGATCTTTTTCTTTACTAATTAGATTCTTTGTTAAGTTTCAAATAAGGAATTACAGTATTGTTGCTCACTTTCAAGACATGCCAAACCACTCATAAGCTGAACAAGATATAATATTGGGAACAGGAAATACTTTAGTTGAAAACTTTGTATATCCCTGCTGGATCCTCGCTTGGCTTCTGATCTTTATCAAATCGCTGAGTGTCTCTGAGTCAAAATTTCTCTAATCCGAATTGACAATATATAGCTTATCAGGATAGCTAGAAAAATTATAATTTTGAGGAATTTTTTTAATGCTTTATATATATTGATGTTAGAATAGTTGTAACTCTACTCCCCACAGAAAGTTAATGTAGTCGGTTCTTTAATCATAGTACCCTTAAAATGTTTATGTAGAAAGAAAATGTAGCAAGGGAGGAAAGGGATATGGCTATTTTTAAACCATGTGTTGGGGAGACATGAAGAGTAAAATCATGAAATCAAATAGCTTAAATTACAATTTCAAAAAAAACCCCAAAACTACTTGATGTTGTCATACTCCAATATCTAAAAATATTTTACAAATAAAGAACAAAGAGAAAATAAATACTAGGAATTCTGAGGGAGCTTCTTTATTCATGGATCTATGATCCCTCCATTGCTGCTAAAATCTTTGATTGCAGAAATACATCTGATTTGCCTTTCGGAATTACTGGATATAGAATGGCATATCACTATTATTATCTTTTTCTCCATTCCTATATTTTGTGCAGTAAACAAGTCATTTCAGGCCCATTTTAATTCTTTATTCCTTTTTTTCTTTAGGACTTGTACAGATGTTCTGTGCTGCATAATCTTCCTACTGTTCATTCTTGGCTACATTCTTGTAGGACTTGTGGGTGAGTAAATACAGGTATAAGAAGATATTTAACATTTGCTAATGCAATAGCTAAGTCAACGTCAAATTTTTAACATTACTTGTTTTTTTCTGAAAGCTTTTTAAATATTGTTTATTGTCTTTTCTGGAGGGAATGTGCCTCACGAGGACTCATTAGGTAGCAGGCACAATAAAAAATTAACACAAAATAGTTTATTCAATGGCAAGCCCAAATTACTTAAGTAAATATAATTGTAAAGAAAGTAGAAAAAAGCTTATGGTTTCTTTTTAATCATTTTTAGCTTAGAAATCCCATTAAGCAGCTAATTATGTTCATGTTGTTATTTACTAATAAGAACTAGGGCCAAGATCAGTTTAGGTAATATATAAACTTTTTTTAATAAGCAAATTAAGAAGGAAGAATTATTAAAAATTTCACCAGATAATATATTGACATATAAGAAGTCCTGTTCTTTTTGCCCACCAGAAAGAGGTATCTGATGTTTATTGTTAGGTTAAAGATTTTTCTATGAAAGTGAAAGCAAAGAGGGCAAATATAGAAATTCTTTATTTGAATTTTTACAAAACTACCAGAGGAACTAGTGTGAATATTTTCTGTAGGGAGATTTTGCAATCGTATGTAATGTATCCTATGTTCTTCCCCAGAGACATAAGTTCTGTCTCTTAGATGTTGAGTTAGGAAACTTTAATACGCTATATTAATGGGTGGGGGCTGTAAACGCCAGATAGTAGCTTCTAGTACTAATAATTAATAAGATGGAGTTAATGTGGATAGAATATATTAATGGAAAGGAAGCTGTGCCCTACCTAGGGAACTGCTTTTCTCTTTTCCTCAGTTTTATCCTTGAATAAGAGAAATACCTTGAGAACAGCAATTGTTGAAAGTAATTTCTGAAAGATAATCTCGATATTACCATACAAAAACTACACAGAATTTAAGAATTTACAAAAATGAAGACAAGAAAATAGGGAGGAAGAGAAGAATAAAGGAGCATAAACAACAAGATTAAATAATATACTGTTCTAAGATCTCTATAACTTTCTTTTGTTATTTCTTAAAGTATTTTAACTTTTTTATTGAGTAGTATTGATTATACATATTTTTGGGATACAGATTTGAATATCAATACATGTATACAATGTGTAATGATCAAATTAGTGTAATTAGCATATTCATCATTACAAAACTTAATCATTTCTTTGTGATGAGGACATTGCTCTTTTCTCAGTATTTTAACTTCTAAATGTTAATATAGTTGTCCACAGATATGTACAATTATGTTTCAATAAAAAATTCCTTAAAAAAATAAACATTAATATAGCACAATTTAAAATCTGTAAATTGAATATTATAATAAAATGAATTTTCTTATACATTAAATGGAATTTTAGCTCCTTTGACTTTGAGACACATCTTTCTTGTCTATGTAATGTTTTCGATTTGTTTTTACTTTTAGTCATAGGATTGAAATTTGTTGCATAAGAGAAGTAGAATAGAATCAGGCAGATTCAGAGTTTCCTCATATTATTTGGTTGGCTTGGGCTAGTTATTTAATATCAGTTTCCTTACCTGGAAAGTATGGAAACATTTACATCCCCCAGGTCTGTTGTGAGGACTAAATGAAATAACACTCAGGTATACTACCAATGCTATGTAATAGTACTAGGCAGTAATTTGTTTGCTACAATTGTATAATGTAGTTGTTCTGAATTTTAGTAAATTTATTTTAAATATAATTTACTGTATTGTTTCTATGGCAACCCATAATTTTGAATATCAAAGTTTGAATGTCCACAGGAACTCCACCAAGATCTCATTCTGTGACCAGAATCTTTCGATTAGGAGGCCTTTTTCCATAATCAAATAAGTCTTACTTCTGTATCTCAAAGCCAGTCTGATGTAATCCACAGAGCAATGCTTTTTGTCCTGAAACAAAGCTGGAAAAGCCACTGCCCCTCTCCTGTAGACACATGGAGGAATGCATGCCATCACTCCCTCTGCAGCAAGATGACAAATTTGTCTTTTTGTTCAAGATCTCCAGATTCAGTTTGTAAATGTCTTAATTCACCTAAGGGAATTGGAGGATAACTGTACCTCAATGAAAAACTATCTTCAATATTAGATTAATTCAGTGATACCCCCAAATTAGCCCCAATGCCACTGATTAAAATGAGTGACTCACAAAATTGCTTTCCTCATCCTTGAACTACAAATGGCCATACTGGCTGGTGTCTAAGATAGATTTAACCCTTCAGTTATATCCAATGTTGAGTTAAAAGAAGCATGAAGGAAAATGATTGGCAGAGGTTAGTGGGAGTGTTAACAATTTTTTAACGTGAAAGAATATATACCTTTACTTGAAGGTGATGCTTAGTGAGTTTCACTGAAGTGTTATAAGTATTTCAGCATCTATTGCCATCTTTTAGTAGATCAGGGCCTTTGTGGACTTATCTTTCACCCGTGATCTTTTCATAAGGAGTGTTGCCATGAAAGAACCACGTTTCTCACAAAAATCTGCTTAGAAGAAACTGTCTTTGCCCTTTGTGTGGAACGTGGCTAGCTAGGGTAATACTTGAGCACAACAAAGGCACTTAATGTTCAGCTGATGAAAGGCAGAACCTCTGCTCAAGTGGATGAAGTGGAGTCTGGTAGGAGGTAATCAAATCTCCTTGAAAGATCAAACTAATTTTTATGTTAATAGTCCTCTTTTACCCTACTTCACTGATGATTGCTATTGAATTATAGTACCAACTAGAAAAAATAATAGGAATATTTATTATGCAAATTATTCTTTGCTATCCTTTTGCTCATATAACGTACACAATAATAGCATGATTTTAACATTCAGTACATTTTTATTTCGTTTTCTTTTTAAATGGATTTCCAGTTAAGTGAGTTAGTTCATTGTTGCACTTACTTAGGAAGCACTTTAAGTTGAAGTCCAGAGTTTGGTTTTTTTTTTTGTTTTTTAATCTTTCCCAGATATAATTATCCCTGTTAGCTGAGAAGATAGGATGTTACCAAGAAAGTTAATGCAAACAAGTCCAGAATGCTGTCACCGTGCTGTGAGAAGGCCAAGCCACATGGAGAAGTCATGTGTAGGGGTCCTGATCAACAGACTCAGCTGGGCTCCCAGGGATAATTAGTGTTCACTATCAGCCCAGTTGGGCTTTCAGATGACTGAAGCACCCATCAACATTTGACTGCATGACAGACCCCAGGGGAGAGCTGAACCTTTCCCCAAATTCCTGACTCCCAAAATCATGAGCAAAATAAAATTGCTGTAGTAAGCCAGTGTGTTTGGGGATGCAAGAATAGATGCAGAATAAAATGTCGTACCTGGAAGTGTGATGCTGGCTTAATAGATCCTAAAATATAGGCATTGGTTTTGAGACCAGGTGATGTCCAGAAGCCTGATAGCTTTTGAGGAGATTGTCGGTGAGAATTTGAAAAAAAGTGAGGAAAATGTGATTGGAAGCAGAAGGGAAGGACATCTTACTGTGTGCTGGTGAGAAGTTTGGCAATATTATTGCCAATTGTAATGTGGAAAGCAAGAAATATACCTAATGAATTTGATGACCTAGTTAAAGGGATCATCATTAGGAGAGGACCCAACTCTAAAGAAGCCTCATCCATACCTGGTCCTGACTTAGGTGACAAGATCCAGACCTTGAGCCCCTGAGCCTGGTGCTATAATTGGATGAGTATTCTAGGGATCTTTGGAAAGGAAAACTAATTGTATTTGGAGGGATGTAAAAAAAACTGTAGCCAGAGGGTGGGCTATGGGAGTTTTAACATATGGCTGCAAAATCTTTGCTATTCTTTTCAATGGGAAGTGAGATCTACGTTCCTTCCCGTTGAATCTGGTCAGACTTATGATTGCTTCCCTAAGAGAGAAATAAACCAAGCCAACGCAGACCAGTAAAGGGCCTTCACATGCAGGTAATTTATAGATGAGTACAAAGGATTAAAGGAATGCCATCACAGCTCCACTGAAGACAGTAGGTCTGAAAGTACCAATTAGAGGAAGGAGGAGGTTTACATAATTCATCCTTAAATCCTTCGTAAGAATGAGGTACAGAATAAACAAAATAGTTAACAATGAAGTGGTCAAACTTGACCCCATCAGTTCTGCTATGAAAGTTTATGTTCAATGTGTTGGGAATAATATAGTCACATGTCTACTTTTATTTTCATTACTTAAGGAAATCAAGCATATCATTTTTTTTTCTGACCTGAACTGTCCCAAAACACCAGGGAGGGAACAGTCTCATTTCCAGTTTCTAGGTGGGGAGAGAGATCTTAGAGTGTACGGAGCTCTGGTGGTTTGGTTGTGCCATTTGGTATCATTTCACATTTTATTGCTCATCTGGATCTCTTCACTACTGCTAGGATTCAATACGATAGCTTTTTAAGTCTTTAAGCAGTTCTCAGCCATTGCTCCTCACAGTGCGACCAGTGTCAGAATGGTTCCATCCAGGTGGCTTCTTGCTTTATCAGAACAGTCTTTTCTCTTAGGCCCTGCTATTAAGCCTGGGACACCAGCCAAGTCCCTTCCTTCAGGGCAAGTTCCCTTTAAAATATTTTTATCCCTTTTGGCCAGCAGACCTAATTCAGGGTCAGTCTGATCTACTCTAAGTTGAATCTCAGGAAGAAAGATTTGAGGTCTTGTCCATTCCTTTTCTTAAAGCAAGTTGGTTCTTCTCCACCCAAGAATATGGGGAAGAAACCATATTTTCATAACTAAGAGAGGTCAATCCAGTGAAGTTTTGAAGAACAAAGATAATTCCAAGATGCCTTTTTGGTTCTGACAATTCAGAGGAGCAGTGAACAGTTTCTTTTACTAATAAATAAACAAATAAATATAACTTTTAAATCCTTAATTTAATTTTTCAGCTTTATTGATGTGTGGTTGACAGAAAATTGTATATATGTAAGGTGTACAACATGTTGTTTTTATATATCTTGTGTTATGATTCTCACAATCAAACTAATTAACA